GTGCCTAATTTTCAGTGCGTGTGGTGTATAGTGCGTGTGTGTAAAACAATAGGGATTTTGGAGCACGATTATCAAGGTGATTATTTTTTGAAAATTGTCACGTGGACATTATTTGTAATTAATAGGGCGGGGCTTATTCTATACTTCATTTCATTTTGAAATGATCACGTGGTGTGCACTTTTAATTTAGTTAGAAATCTATTAATACCAACCGCCAGTGAATAAAACTAAAAATAGACACACGGCTATAAAATATAATTTGTTCAACAGCTGAACTGTTATACATTTAAAAAAACTCACGTGGGGTGATGAATTTTTAAGTGTTAAAATTTGGTTACGCCACTGCATACGCATCCACAGGTGGTCATTATCACGCACTCCAGACGCCAGACTTGTCGGTTTTTGGGGTGATTTTTCTAAAACTGGTCGATTGAGTCGTTTCCTGTTTGACTAGAAACGATAATAAGAACAGTTGATAATTGGGGAAAAAATTTCCAAATGTTGGAATATAGACATCCATGAAATGTTTACGAATTGTCGCCCACATTTTTTATCTAGCAGTGTTGGTATGCCTGCCCAGACGGTTTGAGTAATTAAACATAAACAGTTTGCTCTCCTACTTTGTAATGGAAAAAATGTGAGTAAAAATAGAATGATTGCGATTTTTTTACAGTGTCAATCACCCTGTATAGTAATTATCACCGAGCTAAATTTAAATGTTCGTCTGGTGGCCTGTTGAAAACAAAACATTTTTATCACTTGCATTTTTTATTGTCATAACAGATATAGTCTTATCAAATTGAAAAATAAATGGATATGTAAATAAACTTTGGTTGGTGCTATTTATAGAATATTTAAAAAAATTGAGGTTTTAGTATTGAAACTTTTACTTAAATGACGGAACTTTTATGTAAATTGTTTTAGAGTTCATTTTTGGAACGTTGACCTTCATAAAATTAAATTATAAAAATGCATAAACGACTTGATCTTAATCTAAATCTTGAGAAAGCTTAGTCTAAACAAGTAAAGAGGAGAAATAGGAGTGTCTAGACAACAAAAACACATTTATGTTGGAGCTTTGGTGGAATCGATAGGATTTCCGTAATTTTTCCAGTGGCGTACTTGGCAAAAAATAACACGAATTTGTAGTCGAGTCTGGTTTTGTTTATACTTCGTTTATGGGCCGATTTTTCCGATTGTTTTAGTCATGAAATGAAGATGTGGAAGTCGTGACTCACGAAATTCGTTTGGCAAACATCCAATAAAATTGCATTTATTGACCTCACTAAATGTCCACATTTATCTCTTTCGGTCGTAGTTCTCTCACATATTGTTGTTCATTGTTGATTTAAGAGACATTCGAAAAATTAAGGTTATTTTGTACGTCACGTGATTCTCAACTGTGCCAACTACGTTCAAATTGTTTTATTATTTTTGCACGTTTTAATCTATTTGAATCTTTTAATATACTGCTGAAGGATTATATGCAGGTGATTTATTTGCATAACGACTGTGAAAATGTGATGTGGAACAAATGATTGTTAATAATTACCTGTTATATAACCATTAGGTTTAATTTATAATTCATTTTGAGTCATTTTTAAACTGGTATTAGGTATAGTTTTTTTTTGGCATCTGTAACAGAAGTCATGTCGCTATGTTTAACTCGACCATAAAACCAGTTAAGAGTAAGTTTGGCTTGTAAAAAATTTGGTACAGGTCAGGTCAGGACAGGAATAATTTATTGAGGTTGTGATTTGAATTTGAAATAGTTTTTTTAACAATGTATCCATATTTCAGTTTAGTTCTAATTTGAATACTAAAAAAATAAAATAAATTGTATCATACTCAAACACCTAAAAAAATTTCTGCGACATATTTACACAGGTGTGGACATTATTTTTTAACTTGTGTTCAATTCGATGGAAGCGGCGAACTATTCAGGTCATAAATTTATATTTAGGCCAAGATTAAAGTGCAGATCGAAGTTTTCAACGTTTTACTCGAGTTTAAACTTGACCCACATCTGCACCTTTAAGAAATCTTAGTTTTCGCCGATATATTTTTTTTTTAATAAAATGTACTAATAAATAGAATATACAGTGAGTTTTCTTTATTTACGAAAATAAGTTGTTTCGGACGAATAGATTTTAATTTTTATCACCCTGTATATCCGTAACGAAGCTGTATAGGGCTATAGTTTATTTGACAAATTAGTGTTATTTTTCGTAGAATATGTGGTTGCAATTTTTCGCAATATCAAGAAAACACTCTGTATTTATATAATTTTGCTTTTTAACAGTTTGTGGTATTTTTACCACCTTGTATATTATTTACTTATACTGCATGTTTAGCACTTTTAGTAAAAAAAAATCAGAGTATGATTCATTTGTTCAGTTTTTTTTGTGTTATTGGTGTATTGGTTCATTTTTCTGAAACTAAAATGTATAAAATCAGTGCAACTTCATCTCGTGATAAACCAGATTTATTGAGGTCAGTGGTTGCTCAGGTGACAACTCAATTAGAGTAAATTAACTTGAATTCGAATCATTTGAGACAAATTACGCGAATCAGTTTGAGCACTTGTCATATTACTCTCAGAAAAACTTTAATTGGATAGGAAGTTTGCAAGTGGGTAACTCAGATCAGGAAACCAAGTTCGTAACCGGTCCTTATTCACTTTTTTTTTCTCTCTCAGGACACGTCCTGAGTTTATACATTCTCAGGTCATAAAACTGAATTCGAACCCATATGACATAACCGCGTCTCCACCCCATCCGTTGTAGTTTTTTTTTCCTCGTCTCAGGAAAGAACTTTTCACTATCGCGAAGGTGGCTGTGGCTTGAAAGAAGTGGAGGGGGAGGGAGAAGGAGGAGGGTTTTCGGTTGTGCACCGGCAGCAGCAACATCGGGTTGTTAACCCGCGCCGACTGAGATTCCAAGGGCGTTCGTGGATGTCCAGACGCGACGTTGCCGAATCGTCGTCGTCGTATACGTATCGAAAAGTAGAGACGTTACGATGGTATGGCAACGTTGCAACAACGATCATATGGTGTAGTAGGTGAGATTGTGAACCTTGCCGATGCGAACTTGTCGTCATGATTATTCTTCGAGACGAGATATCGACCCGGGGTACAGTCGGGAAAAATTAAGAAATTCACATTATTATTATACAGGATGTTTCATTTTTCATTAAAGAACCGATTTTTTTGTATTACTATTCTTTTGATACACTATAACCGGTCATTAACTCGAATAAAGTTATTAGAAAAAAAGTCGTTTAGGTAATTGAGGATATTATTGTATTGACTGACATATGTCTCAAACATGTGTTAGACGGGAATATGTTGGTAAAACTGTCATTGTGGTGTAGCACAAGTTCGCGATCAGTTTAGTGATTTGGTTGTAATTGTTTGAGTGATTTTTTAACTGTTATTGACAGGTGATTAATAAATAAATTTGGATTATTAATCTTGGGTGGAATTGTTAAGGTTTTCAAATTTTGACAGGTTACCAGTGGCGTGGGTTTTTTTTATTTGTTAAGGTCACACTCTGATTTATTGATTCGGATCAACTCAGGTCAAAAACTGAGCTGTTTATATTTATACTTTGAGGTCGTTGTTGCTCACATAAAAACCATCCTTCTTTATTACTGTCTTATTTTAAAAACTCGCGTGTAAGAATTAGAAAATAATTGGTACTATCGCTATATTTTTCGACAGACTGTTGTGAGACAAAGATGCATTAATACGAAGTTTCATTAGATAAATAGAGAGCAAACAAGAGGCTGGGAGGGATGAGTCTCCGAGTTTAAATGGCGTTGCAAAAACATTGTATGTCACATAGGAATAAAGAGATGATATACTATAGTCCTCACATAACTGTTATAAAATATTGTCTTGTAACATTTTTTTTACCCTTTTTAAAATTATTATGCTTTAGACAAGTAAGTAGTAAAGTTACTTTCAATAATATAGAGAAATAAGTAAAAATAAAAAAAAAAACATTTGGTTTCATACTTTTTGTTCACCTGGTATATACGATATCAAAGATTTTTTGAGTTGAACAACAGATTCTCAATTTTGAGTCACTAAAGGTCCTTGAAGTTGATTTTATATCCACATTACTATTCAATTTTTATGTCCACTAATGAGTTTTACTATGTAACTAAGACAAAAATGGCTTAATTTATGAATGCTATAACCTATAAATGCCAAAAATTTTGTTCTGTGCAAGTAGTAAAAATAGTAGTGATAAATTAAAGTGTAAGTACGTTGATTTATATCTCCTTTCCTCTTTGATAAGAGATAATTTTAGAACGCTAAAAATAGAAACGAAAAATCTTCAAGTATTACATAATTTATATTATGTTCGAGTGAGAAGTGTTTTTTTTTGCTAGTCCGATTTTTTGCCAAATAGCCGGCGTCAAAAGCCTCTTTTGATCACGAGACAAATGTCAAAGATGAGATTTTCCGCATTCGCGCGTCCATGTGAAGCGTTCCGTCGTGATTTCCGCGGCACGCACCGTTGCAAAGGCGGCTTGTTCAACAAGTGACGATCTATACACGCGTCTAGCCGCAGCACACTACGATCCATGTTGCGTAGGTCTGAGTCTAGACAGTCCGCAACTATTTGTAAATAATTCGGTGGGGCCCACGACCTTAATTATTGTATTGTAATCACCCTTTGAAAAATTCGTACACTTGTAAAAGACCTTGAAGGGCGTGTCCTTACCGAAAAATCAAATTACGCGCCATCGTCGTCCGGGATCGTTGGCGCGTTCGTAAGGTCATTGACCTTTCGGTCTGTGTGTTTTTTGCAATGTCTGGCCAGACTGGGAGAGAAAGTTTGCCGCTTTTTGCGATCGTGTTATGCAAGCTTGATAGGGGAGGAGCCGAAAAAAGAGCATCGCGATTATGCAATTTTTTCAACCTGAAAGTGTGTCGCCATGCTAAAAATAGATATATCTCCTGGAGTGACAATTTTTTTTTTTGGTTCCAGATGGACGGGAACGTCACCAGGAGGCTTGTTCTATCCGGTGGAACCCGTAGATCCGAACTTGTGGGTCTGTTGTCACAAGTTCTTGTTTATGGGTACCTACTGGTAGAAAAAACGACCAGGAACCAGACGCCATTTTGAAAATGAAAAAGTACTAGTTTTGTGGCAGGGTCTGTTTGAGGTAGTAGGTTGTATAGTAAGTATTACACCTATTGGGAGTGCTGTACAGCCTGCTAACTTTCCCAGACCCGAGCCTTTTCATCTTGAGAAGAAACCCGGAAGAATTTTGAGGTTTTAGCATTTTTTATCATTGTTATTTTGTTATAAGGCAACGCCTCACGATTGTTTTGTTAATGAGGCTTAATTTGCCTATTCCCTGAGACCCTAACTTGTGATGTTAAATGGACTCTCACAAGCTAGCGACTCGGGTATTGGCGGATGGCAATACATCAACGAGTAACTAAAGACAGGTTTTTTAGTTACACGAAGTTGGTATTGATTACGTTGGTAATAATTGATAACTGTCATTACTCTAACCTAGGAAAAAAACACAGTTTTTAACGTTCTCAACACAAAATGCACAATGATTTAAGTCTTCTAATTAAGTATCCATTAATTTCCACAAAGTCTCGTAATGGATGCATCCATTATAACGGTCGCGTCATGTGTGGGGTAAGTGAGGTTATGTTACTTTAATTTAATTCTAACTCCTATATTTCAGTCCCGCGATATTGATTTACACGTAATTGAAAAAAACGTCAATGGAAATGTGACTTTCACGCTAAATACAACATTTGGGACACAAATTGATGAAAAAATCGCCGAAATTAAATCGCACAATATCACCGATTTTCTCGACAATGTTGTTACAGTTTTGAAGCAAACCCCTCAAAATCATGTTAATTCATACAAGAGGGTCCTCCACGAGTATTCCGAATTTGCGAGGTTTCACTTAAACATCAGAAATAGTCAGATTTCTGATGATTTGTTGCTAATCCGAGTCACAACAGTGGATGAGGGACGCCGGGAACACCGACTCGAAATTTCAGTGGATTTGGACGAACCTCGAGACATTTTCAAGCCGATAAAACTCGAACTTCCTGAGTATTTTTTAAAACAATTTGGAAAATTTTCCAACTTGACGGAGGTCTACAGTCGATTTTTGGCATCTCTCGAGGACTTGCAGCCGCTTTTTGACATTATGGACGAACTAGATGAAAATTGTGGGGTTTTGGACCCCGAAAAGCCGACACGGGGGGACTCCCATCGCCGGATTTGGCTCGGTAACTCACAAATTTAACAAAATTGCAATTAACTATCATTGTTAGACCAGAATTTGTCAGTGATCGTGACTATTGACCCTCTGAACGTGAAGGCAAGACCGGAATTGAAATTCCTCGGGCCTGAACGACGCGTCAGTCAATGTCTGGAAAAACTGAGCCGGAAATTGGACGAATGGGACGACAGTGGTGACTTTTTCGAACAATTATTGAAAATTTTAGATCTCAATAAATTCCCTCAAAAACCGAAAACGGACCGAGACACGTTGATGGATGTTGGGGAGTGCTGTATTTGTTTTTCCCTACGTCTCAACGAGAAAATGCCCGAAATTATATGCGGAAATAAATCATGCGAGAATTTTTTCCACGTCCAATGTTTATATGAGGTAATTAACTTTTCCAAACTTGTAAGTCACTAAATGGGTTTTTGCAGTGGTTAAGTTCAGTCAACTCGAAACGAATTTTGAACCAAATCCACGGCCAATGTCCCAACTGTGAAAAGGTTTAACTTCAGTGCGTTTAGACATGTTTTAATTGATTTTTTAAGGGGATTTCGTGTCCATTACCCGACGATAATGCTGTCGCAATAAAATGAAACAAGTATTGGTTCAATTTTATTACCTAAACCTTAATACAAAATAGTTTAAAATACCACAATTTTGTTCCTATGGGTGTGGGACAAGTCATCGTCTAAAGTTAAAAGGACCATGAACGTGAAAAACATCCCAATGGCACTTAAAAAGTGCCAAATGTCGTGGAAGTCGTAAAATCTCAATAGTTTACACTCTTGGTTAAATTGTCTTGATTGTGCGGGGGTTCTCTGAAAAAAAATTAAACAGCGACTGAAAAAATAATTGTGATACTTACCGACCAGGAAATACTTTTATTTAGGAAAAAATACATTGCTGAAATGGCACAAAGTGTTGACAAAGATAGGAAGAATAGTGACAATTTGTTGACTTTTTCCTTGTTGATAATCTAGTAATAAAAAATTAAATATGTAACAAGTGAGTTTGAAATTTACCTTCATAACAATATAGAAACAGAAATACAATAAAGTGTTGCCCATAAACACAGCCAAGAGGAAGAGGGCAAAGTCCTTCTGATGTTGGTAAAGCCCCCAGAATGCCATCCCCCAATTACACAAATTTCCGATAATTAAAAGACACATTCTGGCTTTATGAATCGGTTTGATAACATTTAAAGGTCCTGACCAAAATTCGTACACACAAATTCGCCAGACTCTTATTAGCAAACCCCTATCTGAAAAAAAAATTAATAAAACTGTTAAATTAACGAAATAATTTACCCAATTTCCAACACCCCATATAATAAATTTGAATACTGAGATAAAAACACGACAATAAGTAAATGATGGTGAAAACAATCCAAAAGTAGAGATTCCCTTCCAAAATCCCGATCATCCCTAAAAGAATAGCAACAGCCAAGACCCCAAAAGTGGCATAAGCCGTTGCATTGATGTCTGGATGCCGGTTTTGGTAGAGTTTGACCATGCAGAGGACGGCCATCACATACATAAAACTAGAATCTGATTTTGGTTAGTTTAAGTTGGTAGAAGTGGAGAGTTACCGAATTGGAAGTTGGCTTGGTTGGGACACACGTGGTAACTCCCCGAAAGGACGCCTTCCATGATCAGGGCCACCCCCATGGCGTAGAACATGCCGTAGTGTTGCGGAATGCCATATTGCTACCAAACAATTAAACAATTTCTAATTTTTCAACTCACCCGTTCAAAAGTGAGATCCTTGTGGGTGATTTCCCTCCTATATGTAATCCCCAGAAACAACAGCCCCAAAAGCACGTAACCACTATTCGAGAAGACGTGATTGAAATCGCTGATGACCCCCAAAGGGTGGGCACACAAAAAATTATAGTAGCAAAGATCCTGTTGTCCCGTGTCGTTCAAAACCCTCTGATAGGTCACAACTAATTGAATAACGGGCAAACCATAAAAGAGCGCAACTGTTAAAACGTTGTATAAGTAGAGATAAGACTTGTATTTGTGCACTCGTGGGTCTTTCCGGGCTAAGTCGCTCAAAAAAATCACCGATTTTCCCAACCTGATGGACTTGTCTTGGTCGGCTTCGGAGACGACGTCGTATTCAGTCTCGTCGAGTGAGATGTCGTCGCCTTCTTCGGGACAGGTTGTGCTAGGAGTCGCCGGTTCGCTGCTGACGTACTCCATCTGTCTCGGGACGTAGCCGCGTTTCGAGCAGAAGAAGAAACCGGCGATGAAGAGGAAGTAGAAGACGCCGATGGAGGAGAGTGTGGCGATGACGGCATTGACGTAGTCTTGGTACGAGATGCTGGGTTTCACGATGAGGGTGATGGTTTTGGTGCGGTTGGTGTCGTAGAAAAGGGATGGCACGCCAGTGCAGTCGGAGTCGTCGGGCTTTGCCACGAACACGGCGAAGAAGCCGAAAGGGAATTTGTATTTCTGGGGCAAATACAACCAATCACATGAGGAAGTGTTTTTTTTGTAAACGAAAGATTCACCGAGTTGAAATTTTGGCGAAAAAAGTTGTAACCAGTTAAATGGTTAATCGGTTAAACTGTAAATTCATATTTTCCTATATACAGGGTGCGCCAGTTTGCACTTTGATTCTATTTATTTCTGTTGGAAAAATAATTTTCCAAGTTTTTTTGCCATAGGCTATTAAAAGAGTAAACAAGGAAGCTGTATCCTAAATTGTAAGTCTGTTCAATGTTATTTGTCGCTTTTATTGGCAAAATTTTTGTCCCTTTACAAAATAATTGTAAAAAACCATATACAAGATCATCAGTATCATTAAATAGATATAAAAAAATGTCAAATGTCAAAAAAATTTGACAGATAGAATTTTTTAAACATTTTTTCATGTTCCTGGTATCTTAGCTTACTTGAAAATTTTCTATGGGGCGCGAGTTCTGGCGCACCCTGTATAAAGTAGAAATTATTATTAAATTATACAGGGTGAATATAAAGTATGGAACCAAGCGGTTTTATTTTTAATCATTTGTCTCCAGAAAATAATAATTAATATAAATTAAAGTAATGTGATCGTATTTTCAGAACGAAATTTTGTTTTGTTTTTGTCAAAATTGCAATTTACGTGAAAAAAAATTTTTTCAAAAAATTAAATATAAAGTAGATAGTTGTAATCCTTAGAGTATAGCTTTTATGAGAAAAATGATTTCATAGCGGGTTGCCATTTAAATAAATATTTTTTTTTGTAGAACTCAAAAACAAAAGGAAATTTCGAAAAATTTTATTCTTGTTAAATCATCACATTTTTACAGTACTTTATCACTCATCAATTAGTTTTTTTCAAAAAATAAATAGTTTAAACAAAAAACGTTTGGTTCCATACTTTTTATTCACCTGGTATATTTATAATATATTTACATTAATATAATATTTATTAGGTGTCTTAATATAAAATAACTATTTAA